TGTACCAAGTCTTCCATGAATTTACCTAGCTTTTTTGAACCCAGTTATACTTTTGGCCTTCAGGTCCCATGGCAATGAGTTCCACAGATTAATTGTGCATTTTGTGAAAAAGTATTAACTAGTTTGTATTAAACCTGCTGCTTATTAATTTCATTGGCTGTCTCCTGTTTTTTTGTATCATAGGAAATGATAAATAACAATTTTCTGTTCACTTTTTTCCATACCATTCATGATTTTATAGACCTCTATCATATCCCCTTTAATCATTTCTTTTCTAAGATGAACAGCCCTAATCTTTTTAGTCTCTCCTCTTATGGAAGCCATACCATCACCTTTGTTGCCCTTCTTTTCCTTTTCCAGTTCCATTATATCCTTTTTGAGATAGGGCATTTTTAGATTTTAAGAAACAATTTTTCAAAGACTTATCACTTGGCCAGATTCCTGCTATAAAGCATGGGAATATGAGCACTTCAAGGAAATGGTGTAAGAATTCATTTTCACATGAGCAAAACAACACACAACCTTAAGGCAGACAGCTGCCATGGAGAATTTCAGCCCAAATGGTTAAAGTTGGACAAAGTTATAAGCAACTGAGAACAGGGTCTTATAATGGAAAGTGTCAGGCATTCATGGCTATAGGCAATACTACTAGCTGTGCCTATAATAATGAATGGTACTATTCTGTTCCCATAGAGTAGGGTAACCAGATGTCCCGATTTTATAGGGACAGTCCCAATATTTGGGGCTTTATCTTATATAGGCACCTATTACCCCCCACACCTTGTCCTGATTTTTCACATCTGCTATCAGGTCACCCTACCATAGAGAGTCCTTCATCTAAGCTTATCAAAGCAACTTAAAAAGTTGGATAAGCATTTAAGTATTATTCTCATTTACAGATGGTGAAACTGAGTTAGAGAAATCAAAGGGTAAATTCACCTCGCCCACGCACAGCCTGAATAAATAGGCTTTGTACAATTAATTGAAGAGGGATTGGGGTGGAATTCACCACCCAACGTTGGTGCATTATGTAGGGCAGCTCTGCAGTCTTTCTGCAGCCAGTACTCCAACAAAGGATCTGAGCTAGTCAGCTCTGCACACGTCTTCCTTAGGTGTTTGTGGCTACAGTATGCATATAGCCATGGGCCCCCTTCACTATGACTCTGCTCCTCCTCCATCCCACCCCCAATTGACCCACCTCCACGATAGCATATCAGGAGTCCATGTGGAAGCCCATCTCCACTTCACCCTCAATATGACTTTTCAACTACTAGAAGTTGTGTTAGCTCTTTTACAGGCCCAAAGACCAGAGTTTGGTCAAGAGACCAGAGGCCTAGCAAATAGTGATTAGCTAAAAGAAGCAGAATAAACTAAGATAACCTTGCTTGCTAAGATAGGCCTGGTCAGCAAAATTGCCAGATGTTGGAGCAATAACTGAATATTGTGTCTTATGCAAAGTTGCAAATAGAACAAAGCAGCCCTGTTTCTGTTGTGCTTGTTTCTTCTGTAGGAGATGTTCTTCCCATATTCCAACCTTGAGTTCATGAAGGGTTGGAACATGTAATTATAAGATATGGCCTCCTCCCACCTCCCTTTCCCAGGGACCAATGCCTGCCTTAAAACACTAAGGAGACAATCTTTATTGTCATATACTTTCACTGTTTCTTTGCTTTATCCCCTAGGAATGTACCTGTTGGACAATCAAAGGAGTTGCTTCATTCCTATGGACCCCAAATCAGAATTCAACATCTATATTTTATGCTAATACATTTTATCAAAGTATTAATTAAATGTTAACTTGTTAACTTAAAACCATGGGTGGAGACATTATGTAACCTGTTAACCATTGGCTAATGTGCTATCTTGTCTTGCTGCAAAACCTATCCCAGGGTGTGGAACTGCCTACCCCGTCACTTTTCCCCACCCACGGAAAATCCATATATTCTATTGTAATCAATTGATTGACAGTGTCTCTGAGCCTAATAAGCAAGGGGACACTCTGCCAGCGCTGTGCGTAATAAACTCGTAATAAACTTGAACTCTACACGGTGTGGATTTATGTTCCTTCATCTGCTATCCCTGTTAGCATAGGGGTGAACTTTACCCTAAATGAATTGATCAAGGGCTCTCATCAAATAGGTGGCCGTGCTGGGAACAGAACCCTGGTGCCATAGCTCCCAGTCTCCTGTTCTACCCACTAGAATCCCCACCTCCCACAACATTCATGCTTTGGAAAATTGGAGGATTTAAAAATGCTAGTCTGGTTAGACTCTTTGGAAAATCCCTCTAGGCGTCTATCTGCATTTTTAGGTGTCTAAATACCTTTGCAAATTTGGCCCTGTTTATAAATTGTTGCTCAGAGAGAATGAGCAATTACAACTCATGATAATTGCTGTAGACATGAGTTAAATATGAGCACTGAGAGGACTGGTGCAGTACATGGAGCCTTTCCTCCATCGGTTGCCAGTTCAAATCCAGCCCTGGTCAGACGTCAATGAATCCAGCTGACAGCTGAAAGGCAGCATGCTCTAAATGAAAAAGCACAAGCGTCAGGAACTTCTGGGTTCCATGCCAGGACTGCGGCTGATTTAGTGCGTCTTTTCCAAGGTCAGACTTCCCCCATCTGTACAACGCAGAAAATGCCTGCTTGCTTGTATCACCGGGGTGTTGCGAGGAGGCTTCAAAAGTTAATGTTTGTATAGTGCTTTGAACGTGGAAGTTCTAAATAAATACAAACACAGTGCTATTATTCTCAGAATCCGATGGCTGGTTATTCGGACGTCTGCGCGAAAGTACTGGTCTCTGCCCAGCTCCTAATGGATAATGTGTGCGCACATCACAAAATCACCAGCACTGACACTAAACAGACCACGTGGAGTGTGTCAGCAGGGGTCAAGGACTGAGTGGACATTATGCAGTGATGTAAGTGATGCTTACTCAGTGCCAAGTGGCCTTAAACTGGCACTGGATTCCCATGGGGCACCCCTGTGTAAGTTGTCTCCTACACCAGCTACCTCCTGCTCCTGGTGTAAGGGGCA